AAGTCTGTGCTCTAAGACAGAGCTGTGTACATCTCAGGACTTGGCAGGTAAAACAGCTCCCTCATATGTATTTCATCTGGGTATTTTGCTGTTTGTCTGGAGATCAGTTTAAGCACTGCGAAATAAAAGCAGTACAAATGCATAAGAATAGAACATAGTGCATTTAAAAAAACATAGCGCGAAATAATGCACAAAGAAAGCTTAAAACTGTCTTATACAATCCAAACCAAAATGTACTTTACTGGATTCCTGTAAAAAAAAATACTTCACAAATACAGAAGCAAATCATGTACACTTTGTAAGTGCATCCAAAGCCCATAAATCAGATTTACAATTCCTCTGGCTGGCATAACATCATGCACATATGTACTTTTACTGTTTATTCAGCCACTTGCATGGAGTTCAGCTTTAAAGAAACACTATTATCCCAACAATGGCGGCACACTGCCAGAGATCTCAACGCACTATGTAAATTTAACTGGAAATATAAACCATGTGAAACACAGCTAATTCAAATAAGGAGAGCAAGAGTGTAACCAAAAACAGGTCCGATATGTGCTTGTGCTTTATATCTCTTAAATATATATTATTTATTAGGATAGAAAAGAAAACACAGCGCTAAAGGTTAGGCACATACAAATAAAGTAGGTGATTGTATGGATAGATATAATAATTATATCCTCAATATGGTGCAAATAAGTGTTCAAAAATGATTAAGAGTGCAAAAACTAAAAATACCACAGCACTAAAAGTGAAGAAATGGTGGTTATTATATCGTATAAAAATGTAATAATTGTGTATAAGTTTGGTGAACGTTTTGGAAAATAAAGTATTAATAAATAAATTATTATGTTGAAATTTAGTATTAAACAATCCTATTAAGACCAACATTTGTGCATACTCTTTAGTAAAGAAATATACTAATTTCAAACATATTGACAACAAATGTAAATCATTACGTTTGTTGTGGTGGGTAAAAAACCTCACAACCTAAAATCACAATGTCACTAAAAATTCAGCGGTGAGTTGATATTGATAACAATCATGAAGTGTTACAAATTACAAATTAGTGTCAGATCATAATAATAATAATAAATTAATGAATGAATGAATAAATGAAACAGCGTTTAAAAAAGAAATGAATATGTCATATAATAATTAATACCGATCAAACAGTGAAAGTAAGTGGAAAAATGAAAATATAAATCAGTGTATATCTAAAAAGTGTTCAATTCCAACCTAGTTAATTAATGATAAGATATGCTAACATCTAGGAAGGAAAATGATATATAACTTAGGCGGTGATGTCTAATAAAAACCACATAAATCACAAAGTAACAATCAGCAGTCTGTGTCAGTTTTAAACTGATACTAAGTAGCGATCTCAAGATGAAAGTGTCAATCAGAAGTTAATAGTGTTCAATGAGCGGTTTTGTAGGCGAAGAAACGAAAAGAAAAAAGTATTTGTTGATCCCTTTCTCTTTGATCCAGCAGCCCCCCTATTAATGGGTACTCACCAGCATGTAGTGAGCAAGCAAGCATCTCAGATTGGTGATAGTTTGATCCACGGTCCTCTCTCGCATAGGACTTGATCCTCCCCACACTGGAACCAGACGAAAGGAGATTTTTCCTCTGCGGTGCTGCAGCCTTCCTCAGCTATCTTTCAAACCTAGTAGTGGCTTCTCCTGAGTGCGGTTTTAACGATCCTTTTCCCAAGTCCCGAAAACGTTTTTAGGGTTTAAGAAAAGAGAGCCCTCATGGTGCAGTACGTAAAAACAATAGTATTTATTAAAAATAGCAACTTACATGTAAGATATATAAAATTCGACCGACCATACAGCTCAAAAACAGCATATAAAAACTCCTCGTGTGTAAATGAATCTGCCTCTTTGACGCATTTCATCATGTGACTTTTTCAAAAAAAGGCGGATATCCTGATATCTGCCTTTTTTTGAAAAAGTCACGTGTTTCAAGAAATGACGTGTTTCGCCATGTCACTTTTTCAAAAAAGGCAGATATCAGGATATCCACCTTTTTTGAAAAAGTGACATGATGAAACGCGTCAAAGAGGCAGATTCATTTACACACGAGGAGTTTTTATATGCTGTTTTTGAGCTGTATGGTCGGTCGAATTTTATATATCTTACATGTAAGTTGCTATTTTTAATAAATACTATTGTGATTTACATTTGCTGTCAATATGTTTGAAATGAGTATATTTATTTACTAAAGAGTATGCACAAATTTTGGTCTTAATAGGATTGTTTAATACTAAATTTCAACATAATAATTTATTTATTAATACTTTATTTTCCAAAACGTTCACCAAACTTATACACAATTATTACATTTTTATACGATATAATAACCACCATTTCTTCACTTTTAGTGCTGTGGTATTTTTAGTTTTTTCACTCTTAATCATTTGTGAACACTTATTTGCCCCACATTGAGGATATAATTATTATATCTATCCATACAATCACCTACTTTATTTTTATGTGCCTAACCTTTAGCGCTGTGTTTTATTTTCTATTCTATTCTAAGGTGGTTCACCCCCTTTTTTTCATAGCTGCTTCAGGTTTAATTGTTTTTTAGATAGCTCCAGGAGCGCAGATTTTCATTTTTACATATATTATTTATTGCCATGGTTAAGGGGTGCTCAGAAAATATGGAAAAGTTGTGATTCTTAAAAAATGGCAGCACGATCTGAGAACACAAATCCTTTGATCCAGAGACAGGAAACACTCACAAGTGGTCACTGCTCACAAATTACAGGCCTGTAGGGGACCCATGTTTCTGGCAATATTTAATCAGAAAACATAGCAGATAAGAGGCTAATAAATACATAGCTCCCAACTCTCCCTGGTTTAGAAGGATTGTCCGTCTTTTCAAACCAAATCACTTTGTCTCTCTTTCCCCATAAGATGTCCCTCTTTTTGGTCCGATCTATCTTAATAAAAAAAAATATTAAATATCAGGAGTGTTATATTGCACTTAACCTTTTATCCAATCTCTAAATGACTGCATTTGTTTTGGGGGTTTGGGCCAGTATAAATGAAAATAATTGGTGTAAAATTTGGGGTTCAACCATTCACTTTTTGCATATTCTTTTTTTGTGATCTGCGTCACTGGAGGTGTGGCATTGGGGGGCGTCCTATGCTAACATACTTAGTACTATACGATATCCCACTTTTCCTTCTTAGAAAGTTGGGAGGAATGATAAGCATGATTTTGCAAACACACGTGCTGCTTTCTCTAGCAGTTAGCACTTTCATCTACAGAGTTACACATATAATAACAGGCTCACACTGTCTCCTCGGATTGATGCATACGTTTAGAACAATTGTTAGGCTGACTTACTATTTGTATATTAAATACCTCAAGATGGTGAAAAGTACACATACAAAAATTACAAAAGGTTAAAAAAGACAAGCATGCAAGCAAGGCAGTTGTTCAAAATAAAAGGATAAAAATATAGGAAGATCACCCAAGTGAGGGGTGAGTTAGGTAAGGTTAGGCGATAGGGGCAAAACAGATGAATGCACTTTGTCTTAAAGTGCACTTATCCTTTACATTTTGCAGTCTGAATAACAACATTCCTAATTGCCATCATAACAAATTAGTTCTCTGGTAAGTGGTAGCATTAACGTCAAGCATCAGTCTGCTCCCACTAACAAAGGCATCTTATTGAGAGATAGCAGAGGCTCTGTACAGAGCATGCTTCCCACACAGCTAGGAATGTCAAGGTTTCTACAACATAATAAGCTAGGCTTTCATATCTACTAAAAGCAATACGAGTTATAAGGGGCCCCTATGCCTTATTATTGTACCATTTTCTTATGAATAGACAACTGGAAAAGACAACTGGACTTTGTAGAAATACTCTTTTTTTTGGACAGATTTAATTAGAGTGCTCTTAAAACAGAAGGTACCTACATGTCTCACTTCCATCACAAATCAAATTATGCATCCCATTTAAATCATGGCAATCATTCCTTTTTGCCCCTGGACAAACTGCACATCCAGAATAGTTGGGCTATAGCACGGATACAGCCTGATATTATAGAGCCATTTATTCCAAACTGCATATAACTGTTTTAGGCTTGTTGGCAGTGTATGAAAAACATGGCTGTTTTGAAATAGGGCTAGGGGAGCAACAATAAAATATAACCAGAGAGGTTATGGTGAGGTGGGCCAATAGGAACCCAAGATCCCTTCATGGAACCAATGCAAAGCACAGTTGAGCTTTCTTAAAAGAGCAGCCATATACAAGTTTCAGTTTCATCACAAATTAGTGGAGGGGTTTTTGGTTCATTTGTCTTCTCTTTCTACGAGCTACAAAGAAGAGCACAACCTTTCCTTAGAATTGAATAGGCCCTATTTATACTGCAGGAGCAACATCCCATTTAAGTCTATAGGACGTTAGTGCTCAGAGGCGGGCAGCCTAGCACTAGGCTATAGACAATGTTGGAGCTTTCAGCCTTTGCAAAATGTACAGACCTGCATGGTGGAGAGGAAGAGGGTTTAGGTGGAGGCATAGTTTACTGTATTGAGTGGGCTGGAGGTAATTTTAACAAGTCAATGTTATACTCTGATAGACACATGAAGAAAGGCTCAGTCCCACCTCTAAGAGTATTTTCACCAGAGCTTTTACAACCCCTTTAAGTCTCATCATCTGAAACTGAGGTGGGAGAAACTGGCTGAATACCGAAATAAGGAGGTGTTTTTAATGATTAATGCCTTCTGGAGCATAATGAAACTTACTGGTATATTTTGATGTTCATTATTATAATGGTGTATAGATCAGCCTTGAACCTTTACCATCTGCTAGTCATTACTCAGCACGGCATTTCTGGTCTCGCTTTAAAAACTACAAATGACATCAAGTGCCCACAGCAGAGACCTGAGCTACAGTACTGCATAAGGACCAACCAATGGTTGATCTTTACAGATGGATTATGACAGTTAATAAACTGAATGTGTACTATGGAAATTACCTGTTTGTTTGCTTTTAACACAGCTCTGAGCGTTGCTATTTGTTCCCGTTTGGTGCTAAGCAAAGACTTGAGCTTGAGGATCTCCTCCATTAAGCCTTCCTTGTCTTTATCGATCATTGGTACCAATTCCCTGGCTGCGGCCCGCTGACGTGACAGCTGCAAGGACTTGTCCACGGCCTTTTGCAAGTGTTTAATTTGATCCCTGATAATGGCATTGAGGTTGTAGATGTTCATTGGCTCCTTTCGAATATCACTAGAGTCAGATACAGGGGAGGATGGGGGGGCAGTGATGATGGGGGAGACGGTAGCAGACTTTTGAGGGGTTGGCTCCCTACTGGAATCTATGCTCTCTTTTGGGACTGGCTCACAAGGGCTTCTTGCCTCCACTGGTGAAGCTATACCCCGCCTGGCCAGCCTTGGAGAAAGAAGTCCTCTGGGGTCATCGGGACCCTTTAAGCTTCCACTACGGGTACCCTTACTTTGCCTGTAGTAGTCCAACATAACTCTGTTTGGTGTTTCATTGTTACATAGACATACATGATGGTAGAGTTGGGCTAATTCTTCACTAAAAGTCACTAACTCATCCTGAGCTGTATTAAGGGTGTTGTGGGTTTCATTTGCTATAGCAGTCATTATATGAAGCTCCCTCTCTAACAGAATAAATTTGTCACTACTCTCCCTACGGGCCTTCTCTAGATCCATAACTTCTTCATCATACATCTGGATCCTCGAATCCAGTTTTGTCTTCTCCTCTGTGTAGCGCTCTATATGTTTATTGTATTTTTCCTTCAAGGCTTTAAGTTCTGCTTTAAGATCTATCACTTCCGTAACAGCCACTTTGTATTTGCATTCCAGTATCTCAAGGCCGTTGATGTCAATGTCATAGTCATGGGTCTCCTCTCCAGACACTTCAGCTTTATCAGAGTCCAGCTCTTTACCACTGTGGAGCCTCCTCATGGCATTCACGTGTTCTGTAAGCCTATGGACCCGTTCATGCTGCTCTGTTAAGGCTCCCTTTGTTAGTTCCAGTTGAGTCTCAGACTCTTGTAGGTTGGTTAACAGGATCGCTTTTTCCCTCTCAACCTGTAGAGAAACACAGCACCAGCTAGATTAAAAAACACAAAAATAACTTTACAATATATATCTATAAATCTTTTAAGGTTCATTGTATGTAAGCAAACAGCATCATAAAAAGGGAGTAGATCATTTAGCTGCCAAAAAAATTAGGTCCATGTCACTAAAATTCTGTAAGTCTATTTTTTCAATAGCACTCAACAAAAGACAAATCTAACTGTCCCTGTCCAGCTTGACTTTTGACATCTGATATTTGATGCTACTGCTAAACCTTAGTTCTTTCTTGCTGATTTAATTGTCTTAGCTGCCCAATGACTGAGTTTGTGGTCTGCCAACTACCGTAAAAGGACAAATTAGAAGACAGACGGGCATGTGTCAAGTATGTGAAGGTTGCAAAAACAAGACTTACATCTGTTTTAAGAAAACACAAAGAAAATCTGAGTATTTTTAGGGCAATGCTAGACAGGCCAAAATTACAGCTGTCCCCTAAACTGATTGCTTGCTGTCCCCTAAACTGGTCTAAATGGCTTCTAAATACATTCATTTGTACAGCCTGATATAATTAACCCCTTTAAGGCCCAACTCTAGTATTAAAAAAAACAGATAAATTAATTGCCAATAAGTTTAAAAAATAAAAAAGCAGCTCTTGCTGCAATGTTATTATTATTATTATTATACAGGATTTATATATTGTTTGCGCAGTGCTTTACAATATAAGGAAGACATTACAATCACAATACAATTCAAGACAAGATGGTAAGGAGGGCCCCTGCCTGTGAGGGCTTACAATCAATACTCACCATCTATCACTGTGCCCCACAGATTCACCACACTGTGATCCAGTGCTGGTCCTCTTCAGGTTTGAATGGCTAATGTCCATTTAACCAGCTTCCTGAGAGTGCAGAGCATCTAGAACCTGTCCCCTGGGGTATGTCATTAAGCTGCCTTGGGCTCACACGGGAATGCTGCAGAGAACGGCGCCACATTCTCTACAGCATTCAGGAACTGCCTACTGGTAAATGTAGAAAAGGAGGAAGACATGTGCTTGGATGTAAGACCCATGAATAAAAGGTATGTATCCAGCAAGGGGGTGGAGCAGGGTGTGGGCACCAAACAGGTTAGGGGGTGCCAATCTGGAATTGGGCTTTAACGTATATATTTGACTGTTGTTTTACCAGGGTACGCACTTGCAAACAGGCCCCTACTCATAGACCTTACTTATTACATCTGAACACCCTGTCCATCGAGATCCTAAATGAGGTGGAGGGAGTTATAGAAACTAAGAGGGTTAGGTGTAAATGGCGGGTTTGGAGGTATAAGAGGTTATGAGATGGGCATGTCAGCTGTAGGGAGTATTCACACGAATAATAATGTTAAGCATCAAGTTAAGCCAGAAGCATATTTTGCCCCAGGTACAGGAGTGCCAAGCTACCCCACTGAGTACATCAAACATTTGCCATAATCTTTCTGCTTTCCCGTTTATTATTGAGGGCTTTTTCACACCATGTCAGGACCAGATCTGTAGCAGATCTACAAACGTAGTGCAGTGCATTTCTGTCGCGTTTTTACCGCAATTTAGCAGCAATTTTTCTGCAGTTTTTTTTAGCTTAACATGGGCTTTTAGGTGTAGTCCAGTGTGTTCCAGGGCATTTGCAATGCGTTTTTTTTTTGCGTTTCCATGCGTTCCAGAGCAACGAAAAGTAGACAAGAAGTATTTTTTTTGTCTAGACCGGAACGGACTGCGCTGGTGTGAACTGAGTCAAGAAATACCATAAGGATACATGGGGATGCTTTTTTGGTCCGGGAACAAACTGTTCTGGTCTGGACATGATCCGGACATGGTGTGAACAAGCCCTGAGGGTTATCAAAATGTTACTAACAAGCCATTGGTTCAATTTCCCAGCAAAGAGGAGAAAACTAACATTGGAATTAGCAAGAAATAAAGGTTAAAACAATGTGGACAATAACTAATTTGGGTCAGGTTTTTTTTGTAATCTCTGTTATACAGTCCTGTATGTTGCAGGTATCAAGCCTCTTAAACTGTGATATTATAAAAGGAGATAGAAGAGGAAACAAGATAAAAGGGAACCTTGCATATATTGCAATACATGTTCAAGCCAGGCAACTGTGTCAAAGTCCGCACTCTACTGTGCAAAATGCCAAATACTTAGTAGCTTATAGCATACTTTAAAAAATAAACAGTGTTAATAAGGGATTAATGGACATAGATAGAGGAGAGCAACAGACTCAGGTCTGGTTACTTAACTGTACTATGCAAGAGATTGGCTACAGCATCCATGCTCAGATCTAAAAATGTATAGCATCTATGCACACCTAACGTGATGTGACATTAACGTAGATACATTCAATAGAATAGTATTTTGGGATAGGGTGGTAACAACATATTGTAGAATGCAGTCACTGCTCTATATCGCCATAGTGGGGATTGGGAAAATTATAAATCTTCACAATAGCTTTTCCTTTACTGAAACATCTGACCTACTAGGTGACTGCTGAGCTTAGCTATCAGTCAGTAGGGCATGAATGGGTGGGTACAGACCACTACTTGCCACGCCAACTACCTATAATGCTGACAGAAGGGTACACCCCATTCAAACAGAGGGAAATTCTAGAAGCGGTCTGCCAGCAAGGAAAACTCATAGGTGTATTATTTATGCTGAAGTTTGAGCTTCGCAACAATGCAATGACTTATGTGTCTAGGGTTCAGTTTTATAACCTCACAGATTGTATTTAAACCTAAATATAGACATGACAGTTATGTGATGTGGCCAACTTAGACAATTATCTCATTGCCAGTGGGGGTATGAACACCAGCCAACTAACTTCGAGAGGAAGAACATATCAGAGAGGTGGGAAAACCTGTCCTATTCACTAGTGCTCCATCCTAATCCTGCAAGGCTAGTCCCTTTCTCCCTGTTCTTCTCCCCCTTTCTTCGGTGAATGTTTGGCCAAATGTTTGTGTCAGTGACGTCACTGCATGACTGGAAACCTTAAAGTGACATTAAACCCTCAGATTTTTTAACATAAAACAATACTGTAATGTGTGCATTACTGTAATCCATGGTTGTTTCCCTTCTCTTTGCTGATCTTCCTTTTAAATCCGTATCTCTTCTCATGCTGGGCAGAAATTCCATTTGCAGCTGAGTGCCTCTTTCTGTAGTGCTGGCTCAGGTTGTGAACCTGCACACAGACACCATGTATCCATTTCAGAGACAAGGCAGTCTGCTGCAAAACAGAAGTTCTGCCCAGCATGAGAAGAGATACGGATTTAAAAGGAAGATCAGCAAAGAGAAGGGAAACAACCATGGATTACAGTAATGCACACATTACAGTATTGTTTTATGTAAAAAAATCTGAGGGTTTAATGTCACTTTAAGGCTGGTCAGGTCTTGCATGCATTTCCACACTTATAGTATTTAGTAACATAGTTCAAGGTCAGTTTTATAGTGGAGCACAGAAAAAACAATTAAAAATCAGCTTTTGTGAACCAAACCACGTTAAACATCTAAACACACACCTTTGCAATATTTTAATGGTGAGCTTTTTTAGTTCCTAGTTTTAACCTTTTTACTATAAGCTACCTAGATATCCTTACCAAACTACTGATTGCACTATATTAAAAGGCTACTCTTAAATAAACACATAATCAGGGAGAATACAGTGGCTAGGCGTACCAGACAACCTGAGAAACTCTCTATGGTGCATAGCCCGTTTATGAAATATTAATGCGGAAATGATTAATAATACAACATACCAATATGCATACACACAGACTGCAGTGGAATTAAAATATTAATTATGGTAAATGTTAAGACTTCTGCCACCTTCAATAATTTGTTTCTAGGGGACTAAAAGAATTTCAAAATTGAATAATAACCTGATTATTAAACATTTTTAGGATTTGTTGGGACTACTACTATGTTCCTCCACTTTCCCATGTTTGCTGACATTTCTTTATGAAATCCCAAGACAAGAAGGAGTGCACCATTTACCATAAAATCCCACCCAATAATAATAAATCCCTCTCAGGTATATCTTACTCAGAGAAAGTACTACCCCCTAGCAGTCAGACACTGAGTTTTGGTAAATTGGAGAACTGTAAACAGGTAGTGCAACTGAAATATAGAAAGAGTGCTAGCATTCACACCCAATATAGTGGTTCATTCTGTGATTTCCTCACTTTTCAATGCAAAGGTGAACCAAAAACCACTTTAAAGAGCCTCCCTTTACATCTTATCCTACAGTTGAAATATGAGAAAACTTGTGGAATTAGTTATGGAGGAACAAAGGAATAATGGGAGGGGTGCACTAACGTAACCAATACAGGGGATTACTTTAACTTTAAAGCACTAACCCATTTAAAGGATGGGTCCAATTCTGTAATTTGGTGGGTGAATGCACTCCAGATCTCCAGATTAGAGCCCAGGTATGTTTTGCAGTTTTGTTCTCCCATCCCTCTCTTCCTGATCCATTCTCTATCATACAAACTGTAGAAGTCTTTAAAATGGCAGGTGAAGGAGATGGAAACAGAGATGTTGCCACTGAAGTCCCATAGAGCCATAGGATGATGGTTGATTTTTTGACCAGTCACCATCTATCTTTAACTGAAGTAGTAGTTTAACAGTTATTGTGCTCTCTCCTGTACTCAATGTCAGCCGTGCAAAGCTTATCGTAAATGTTACTGACATATAAGCAGTACAGTGACATATGATAGCCTCTCTCCGGGAAGATGTGAAGATGCTACATTAATACCGATCTCAGGTTCTGCCACTACAGTAATATCATAAATAACAGTAACCACCATTATGCTGAATTCAAATTTGTTTTATGGCCACTGAAAGAAAGTTGCAGATGAGGTTACATTAATGCTAAGGCACTGATATTTTTACTAATGCCAGGATCTATTACTATACTATAATTAAACGTAATGCAGTCATTTATGTACTTGCATAGATTAGTTATGGAAGCTCAATCTGTTCATAAACACAGATACTCAGTGGTAGACACATGAGCAGATAATCATAGTGGTCCTCATTGCGACTGTCATGCAGAACCTATACCCTCATTTAAATATCTGGAAGTGCAATAAATACCTGTATAATACATGTAATAAATACCTGGATGTGTCAATGTTCTCTCATAGTGTTCCCAGTACTACCCCTGACAATGCCTTTTTTTCTCCAGAAAGATGGAGCCATCTTTGTTAAGGCCCCATCCAGGGTCACCATATACTTCCAGGACTGAGAGGCCCAGAAATTAAATAAACATGTAAATCATGGTGCATGTGCAGTTCTAGACACTGCTGAAGCCTCTTACCGTGTAACTTGCTACAAAGTTTCACTCTTTCGATCTGATAACAGAGAGAGGGAAGACTAAGGAAATGCTCCACCTGCCTGCAGCAGACTGATTGCATCATGTCAACCTAGGCAAAGTCATTGGACTGAAGCTCAACGACTGTTTTTGTTAAAGGGTATACATTTTATTTAAAATGTTTATTCTGTATAGGGTGCCAATATGTCAGGGATTTAGTCATGCAAACTTCTAAAGTTACTAAAGAGTCCACTTTAAACAATAGCTAAATTGTACAGCTTATATTTCAGGAGGTTATATAAGGCCGTTATATGTCCCGGCACTAATACTGTAGAATTAAACTTTTGCCCTTGGGAGTGGGGAGTCTATATTTATAGCAGTGCCAGTCCATTATCCACATGCTGAAATCAATAATGTCAATGGTGAAATACTGACCGCACTGAACAAATAGTAATCCCTTCATTTTTGTGCATTCTTCAGCAAAAAGAGAAATGGTAGAATCATTATGATTGATGAGAGGCGTTTCAGCAGAGACAGACTCTATGTTATATACTGTAATATGATTCCATGCAATTAAGTATGATGCCAACTACACCTACACACTGCCAGATTGGTAATAAAAAAAAGAACAGACAAATCTTTTTTTTACTTTTGGATAGAGCGGGAAAGACTTTCCTCTCTCAGTGACTACACAAGAAGTCAACATATAGACCTGAAAAGTCTACTTAGGTTCTAACTAGGGATGCACCAATACCGTTTTTTCGGTTACGAGTACCAATATTTTTTTACGGTACTCGCCGATCCCGAATACTGACGGAAGTCCCATTAAGGAAGCCAGGCGGCGTGTGGTGACTCGCCACCTGGCTTCCTGATTAGCCGGGCGGCGTGTAAAGACTCGCCACCCGGCTTCCCGATTAGCAGGGAAGCCATCTCCATGCTTCTCGTCACTAGGTGACGAGGGAGCATGAAGCTGGCCAATCAGAAAGCCAGGCTCCGCGTCATTACACGGCGCCCGGCTTCCTGACTGGCCAGCTTCCCGACCAAATAGGAAGCCGGGCAGCGAGTCATTACACGCTGCCTGGCTTCCTGATAGCGCGGATAAGCCGGCTCCATGCTCCCTCATCACAAGTGACGAGGGAGCATGGAGCCGGCTTCCTGGCCAATCAGGAAGCCGGGCAGCGTATAATGACTCACTGCCCGGCTTCTTGATACCGGAAGCTCAAGTATTGGGCTAGGTATTGGAGCATTTGGGCGAGTACAAGCACTTGCCCAAATACTCGGCATCGGCACCGATACCGATACTAGTATCGGTATCGGTCCATCCCTAGTTCTAACATTTACCTGTTCAAGTAAAAAAAAAGAAAAGTTGGTTTAATTGCTGTCTGGGTCCCTGTTTGAGAAACTTCCTGACCAGGTGATGGGAGTCAGATAGAACAGAATGTAAATGTGGATGTGAAATACTGTATCTTCAACATGGATGCAGACAGCAATAAGAACAGAGGTTCAAACGCATTCCCACCTCTTTCAAAAACTTAGAATAAAAACAAATGGCGTAAAGCATATAAAGGATACAACCTTTGCCAACTTTTTTATGCTTTCTGTGTCCCTGCTGGTGTTTTCTTTTTATTTACTGATTTAGGATTATTGTAATATGAAGGGCCCATCAAAACAAAATGAACTATTAAAGCTCAAATCAAATTTCACTCATTTTTATCACTTTATAGTCCTGTACGCCTGTCTGTTAAAATTTGCACCTGCTTTCTGGTAAAAAAAAATGCCTTAAAATACCTCTAAATGCTGCTTCCAGCCCTCGGGTTGCAGTGCTCTGTGCTGGCAGAGCTGAGTAACAGTTACACCCCTCAGTACAAGTGTCCTCAAACAGATTTGTACTTCAGAGAAGGATAGGTGAAGAATGGAGGTTGTTTATCGGACTGTATCTCTGTTACTTCAATTAAGCTTTAGATTTAAAGGGTAATTCCAATTTCCCAACACTTTAACATCTGACAAAGAGGAGTCCATGTTACTGGGATAGAGGCAAGATCTGCACATCCAGGATATTCCTTAGAAGGTTCATTAGAAAGGTTTGTGGAATAATGGTGAAATATCTCTCATTCAAATGGATGGTGGCCCTATAATATGTTATCCAATGCTGGAATTTAGTTTGTGGTTCATTTTCACCAGTACCACCTACAGCCGTATAAATGCTTGTCCTCCTCTCAGATTGCCCATCTGCCCGTAGAGACTCTGCATGGCATGCTGGAAGATGCTAACACTGGGAAAGGTGGTAGGAAGAATTAATTCTGCTCATAAAGAGTAGCAGAATATAGTTACAGTTTGGCAACATATTCATTATAAATGCAGTTTTAGAAACCACATTTTGATCTCTGTGAGTGACCATATGCTTCCACCTACCTGAATAAGCTGCTGTTTGAGTTTTTGCATCTCTGATATATTCAATTCGCTGAAGAGGTCAGAGACGGGAAGGAGTGACTCCCCCTTACGAACTGCCTGAGTCCGATAATCCCCATTTATTTTGACAAGAGGGGTATGGATGTGTCCGTTCATCTTTTCCTCGTTGTTGGACTCCCCATCTTCTGAGAACTTCAGCCCATCCACAGCAATGTTGATGTGGTTGTTGTACATGCTGTCATTGATGTTGATGTACTGTGCTAGCTCTTTCCGCAGGTTGTTTTTCTGCTCTCGCTCATTCTTCAGTGTATCCAGGGCTTCCTCCAGTTGATGTTCTGCTATCTCTTTCAATCGAATAGCATCCTCCAGCTGGCTGTTTAGGAGCACCGTCTCCTCCTCAAAGCGCTTGATCTCGTGTTTCAGGCCTTCATATTCAACCTATATCAGACAACACAACAACATGAAATTAATAGAATGGAGAAGTGAGCAAATACAGCATACATTTTCTAAGGAAAAATAGCATTAAGGCTGCATTCCCACTATGTGTGAATGTGTGTTTTGGGAGTCCTGCGGCAGGAATGCCAAATAATCTGTTTAGAAGCTGCCAATGTCACCAATTCAAGTTAATGACCGGGTGACAGCGGCTGCATCTGTAAGCTGTTTGTTGCGTCCAGGAACAGTGATCTATTCCAAAAAGCATGTAATCATATGTGATATGATTACATACAGAGTACTGCTTTCAGATGTGGCCGCTGTCACCTGATCATTAAAGGAGAATTATGAGCTGAGTGAAAATCACTCAGCCTCATAATCTGAGCTGACCTGTTACAATGAAACACAGGTCGGCTCAGATTACATTTGTCTTACATTTTGCTAAGGCTCAGGTTCACACTTGCGCGATCCGTGTTTGCGCGGCAATCATGCATGAAACCGTGCGGATTGCCATACGGTCACAGATTATTTTCTAATGGCACCCAAGTTGCACCGGCAATATCACGCGGTTTCCCACCGCAATTCCCCCCGTGCAGTCGAACATGATGGTGGCAAAAAAAGCAGTGTGTCGTGTGTCGCAAAAAAAGGTACATGTACCTTTTTTCAGCGATTGCCACGCGGATGAAACCCCAATCCATGGGACCGCGCTGCAACCACTGTGTGCAACTGCACGCGATCGTGCGGTCCCAGTTTGCGCGTCCCGGATCGCCCCGGTCTGCAGCAGCCCTCAACCTATGTGTATCAGTACTGCTTGGACCTTAGAAGAGAGTAGGCCCCTGAAAGCATGCCCTGAAAACGTAACTGTTAGTGCAAATACCAAAAGTACCATGTGTTGCTGAAATCCTCTTATAAGCTGTTGCGGTTGCATACAAATTGCAAGTCTAATTTTCTGACAACGTGATGTTTAATAATCAGCTCCAGTTCCTCTGTCTCTACATTGCAAACCAAGGAAAAAGTATCAAGTGTCTTTGTTGTTTTTTTAAATTGCCCCCCAAGGTACCTAACTTTTCCCTAGATGAGGTGACCACGGCATTGAAAATTACCAACAGGCACCATAACATTCCTCATGGGAATTTTCCTTTGATAAATGTGATCTTGTGCGTCTTTACCAAACAAAGAAACAACTGCAGGGTCAATACATAAGCAAGTCCTCAACTGATAATTATGCTACATTTCTTCTGGTGTATCTCACGGGAACAAGCCTTAAAGCTGGCCATACGAACGTTCATATGAAAATCTCATCAGAATATTTAAAAATGCCATCAGAGACTTGTTCGTAATTTCATTTGATTTTAACATTCAATTTTGGAATAAATGGAGTTTCTTGAATCAAAATCACATTCACTGTTATCATTTCATTCGTTCAATAAAGATTGTCAATCCTGCTCCTCCAATTTTTTTCATTACTATGGTCATAATGGATGGTTGATTTGGCCCCATTAATTCTTAGAAAATAGAACAAATGCTCCAAAAACAAATTTTGTTTGAACAAAATTTTACTGATGCATGGTCACCTTTAGCCCTCATTCACACTGTAATCGGCCCGCACGTACAGCTCCGTGCTGCAGCAGGGCCGTACTAAGCAGCTGCCGGGAAGGACAGGTACTGCATGTAATTAGTACGCAGCCCCCGTCCTTCTCTATGGGACTACGCGGCCGTACGCCGCCCTACGCTCACCTCAAGTGCAGGTCCGTACGGGAGCGTGTTTTTTCCCGCCTCGGACGCAGACAGGATCCATCCTGTCAGCATACGAGTACGCTCACCCGCACCCGCATGGATGTACTAATTACATGCAGTACCTGTCCTTCCCGGGAGCTGCTTGGTACGGCCATGCATGCAGCACGGAGCTGTACGTGTGGGCCGATTACAGTGGGAATGAGGGCTAAAAGTGTATGTAAACCCTAACAATGAACTGCTCTTATTTGTTCCTCATTCACTAAGTTAAGAAGAAACTTTTTCCTGGAAAATGCAACTTCTGTTGCAAAGAGAACCGTACATCAACCTCATATATCATGTCTGTTCGATAAGCGTAATAAAAATAAATCTTGATTCTGCCAGAAATCCAGTGTTGTCCTGAATCCTGTGCACCCTACAGTGTTATCTCAAGAAGTCTTACCAAACCTGCCCAGGTTACCTCTGTAAACTACAGAACACATTTGATTGTTGCTATAGGGATAAGTGTGTGTATGTGGGGGGGAGGAGGGGTTGTTCTGAAGTCCTTACACACTTTGTTCTAGGGTAACAATGTTGCTTGTTCAGAGATTCAATACAGTGAGTCCTAGGGTTGTCACTCTAGCATAGGAAGTGTGTTGCTGGCAGGATCATCTGGTGACAATTAAGGAAAAAAGAACACTAATGCATCGGGCACATCTATGGACTGATTACATTATATTACATTTTTGTTCTTGGGGTTAGGAATACTAGAGTGAAACTATGACTTCCAGCCTGCCAAAAGTATAAAGCCTCTTTTTGAGGGTGTGTATGGTTTTATTTTATTAGTGTAGAGACAGTGCTGGTTTATTGATTTTTAATGAATATATAACTGCATGAATTGGTCTTTTTAAATCTGCCTGGAATTCAGCTTTAATCCTACAAAAGTAAAAAATGTGTTTGTAGTATAACGATCTAATAAAGAGGAGAGGCTTTTGTTAAAAATCAGAAATAATTGGACAGTTGTTGAAGTCTCTAAAGGATGGAGAGCTCCTTGGAGGTATAAATACAAGTTTTGGTGTGAAATGTGATATATCTCCTAATTAAACTCTTGTGGGATTTTAAGGCTATTTATCTTGGCAAGATGTACACACTTGTGACTGACTCCCAACGTCTCCATAGAATGGTGACATGCATGAAGTCTTGGCTCTCTTTATTAAAAATTAACCATCACATGCCGATAAGACAATCTTAAAGTGAATACATAATGGCAATATTGGCACTTTTAGGGAGTTGTGGGCTGCTGTACATTTGTTTGAATAGATTTGCAGTGTTGTTGTTATCCGTTTTAGTTAGTAAGTAGTCACTGTTAAAATATCAGCCCCAATTCATCAAGCTGCCATTGTATTTGAGGCACCTTAAAGAGACCCTGTTGCTAGACCATTTATTTAAACAACAATTTCCCCCCAAGATTATATGTGCATTTTTATTTATGGCATATTCTGTGCATGTCATTTACCTGTAAAAGCCTTCCTTGTGTAACCATCCAAGAGCCCTGAGACTGCTGAGTGCCACCATCTTGGTTGTAATGTCAGCAGCTCAGCAGATGGAGTTATCAATTAAAGAACTCCTGGCAGAATAAAAATGAACCCTTGTAGTAGGACTATCCCTGCACTGCAAGGGTTAAGAGCTCATTTTGGTCTATGATGTAAAATAAAAAAGATATACTCACCTGATTCCCAGTCCTGCCAGAATGCTAGACCGGTCCTCACAGCCCCTTCTTTTCCCCAGGCTCTGACTCCGGCCGTCTAAGGACCTGTGACGTCATTATGTCCATTCACTTGCATGAACATCCCACACCCAGGGCGGAGGGGGAGGGAGGTGAGCTGTCACTAACATGGGACCAAGGATCGGGTGATTTCATCTTTAACTGTACACCCTAGACCAAAACGAGGACTTAACCTTGCAGTGTGGGGGTAGCCCCACATCAAGGGTTACTTTTTATGCTTCCCGGAGTTCTTTAAGTATTCCCCATAATTCCTGCCCTGGCAGCTACATAAAAAATGTTAAGTAGGAAGTAGAGGGGAGGAGCAAAGGAACTGGGCCAGCACAGAGAGTAATTAGACACTGTGACATGCAAAAATAGAGAAGGCTGGGCTAGTGAATTGACTCTTACAGAAGTTGTTTGCTAGCAAGTTCAAAGGCACATGCCAAGCGCATAAAAAATTGTTTATGGAAAGAAAAAATGCTGCACGTAAAATTTTAAACTACTAGAAGTTGGTGACAGGGCCCCTTTAAAGTGAACTCAACCACTTTAGGAACGGTATGTTACACCCCCTTCAAGTCCAGGCCATTTATCAGTTTTCAGTGCTGTGGTACTTTTACTGTCAATTACTACCGGTATGTCATACAACACTGTACCAAAATACATTTTGGACTGACAGAGCTTTGTTTTGGTGGTAGTTAATAACCATTTTTTTTTAAATTTCATATATAAAGAAAAAAAGAGAGACATTTTTTTTTTTTTTAAAGTTTCCTATATTTCTTAGTACAAAACATATGAAATAATAATGCCATGCCATGCATTACAAACAAACCCCAAAATGACAGCTTTTGGAAAGTACAAACCGGAAAGTACAAACCGCAATGTAATCTAATGTTTGCATATTTTTGGGGGAAATGAAGAAACAGGCTAGTAAAGAAGATTTAATATGTGCGTAGTCTTTAACCCTTTCGCTGCCAGAGCCGGTTTTGCACACGTTAAAATGCACATTTTAGGCCTGAAGATTACGTAAACCCCCTAGAATATATATTTCCTCAAATCAGAGACCCTGTAGAATAAAATGGTGGCACTTAAATTTTTGTTGTTGTATGATGTTAGCGCAACTGTTTATCAAACCCAAGTAAATAGATACCAAACATGTCAAGCCTCAAAACAGTGTGTGTGCCTTCTGTATTCTCCTGTTCAGAGACACAACAGGAAGTGAAAAAAGAATCCTCTCTTAAGCTGACTATACACTGCTCGAGAGTGTGAAATTAATATTTGCTTAAGTGAACCAATTAATATGTTTAAATTTGTATATAACTAACGTGTGTGTTTTCTCGAGTTAAACCAAGCTTTCGAAACTGCTCAGCTTAACTACAAAGTCACAGGCTTCCTGCATACTGATTGAGCAGACGTACACGGAAAAACAGCATTAAGGAAATCCTCCTCGCCTCATGACTGAAGTGACTCAACACAGGATGTACTAAGGAACTGTATAAAACATCAAGACAGGAAGGGGGGGGTGGGGGGGGGGGGGGGTTGAGACTCTTACAAGACTGAGTGAGGAACAGTTCCAAACTTTTTCATGGTCTGTATTGAGTTTCCCGTGCACGAATAAAGCATTTGTTAATCTTTTCAAATATACCATCGCCTCGTCTCGATATATGCTGAGATTCCATCAACAAGAGTCAGCAGCGAGCTGTGGGTGGCCCTATCAGTTCTACATCATTCGACAATAGTTGTCCTTGGAAGATTGCTCTGTTCCTGTTCCACTGGTAACTTAGACTTTTCACAAGGATATTTTACACTTACAGAGCAGGAGAAGCCAAACTATGGTCCTCCAGTTGTGGTGAAACTACAAATCCCTAAGTCTCGCAATGCCTTATGCCTTATAGAATTTGTAGTTCCACAACAACTGGAGGGCTGAAGTTTGGCTACCTGTAAAATCTTAATAGGTATACATTTTCAAATAAAGGATACAGCATTATAGAATAATACCAGAACGTACCTGGTTTTGTTTCAGCGTGGAGACCAGTTTCTGCAAAGTTATGTTCTCTTCCTCGAGCTCGGTGTAGTCCTGGAGCAGCCTGGCCTCACGGAACTTATACTCCCGGATCTCATCCTTCATCCGCATCCGCTGCAGCTCCAGAATTTCATTTGTCTACAGGAGGAAATAACAAAATAACATTAATAATAATATAATACTCTTGATTAGATCTATGAGATAATATAAAAAGCAAAGTATGGTAACTTCTAACAGCCAATCAGAATCTTGTCTTTCATCAATCTTGGATCATTAGGGGTAATGCCATTGAGGTGCCATAATCCTAAAAACATTCTCTAAGCTTTATTCTTTTTAAATTAATAACTAATTATGTTACTAGAATGTATTTTTTCCCCCCAGGAGTTGTACTTTTGGTTTTGGGAAAAAAACTTATAAGGAAAGAAGTGATGTCATTGGCGTTATATGGCCACATGGCTATATTTGGTCAATGACATTGACCTATGCCCAATGTATAGTAGTCGCGGGGTGCAGAGTGCTGGAATGCTCTTTGCGTTCAGACACCTGCAACTGACATTCGGGTCAAGTGATCTACTGGCTGACATGACCTGGTGGGGAGAAGTGTCTGTTCAGGTAAGTAACCACTAAACACCAATGAAAGGGATTTATTTTTGATCCAACTAAACACCATTGGGGTGGGGGGGTATTTATTGGTTGGACAGATCACTATCTGCAAGGAGTTTGCATGTTCTCCCTGTGCTTCCGTGGGTTTCCTCCGAGTACTCTGGTTTCCTCCCACACTCCAAAGACATGCTGGTAGGTTAAAAGGCTCCTGTCTAAATTGGCCCTATATGTACTGTATGCATATGAGATAGGGACCTTAGATTGTAAGCTCTTTTTGAGCAGGAACTGATGTAAATGTGCACTGCTATTGCCACTGACAATAGGGGGGAGGAGGGGGCTGGGGCACTGAACACCAGTGAAGGAACCTGAGGTTATTTATTGCTAACACTGCAACCATTGAATTTGGAGTTTATTAGTGCTGCCTGTGACACCACTAGGGGTTGTATATTATTGCTGCCTCAGCTCTGGGCTGAACATCAGCTCCCACATACCCTTGCGAGGGCATGTGAGAAAGAAATACCACGGCAGCATGCAGGTGAGTGAAAAAGTCCTGAAGATTGAGCTTCCTGGAAGGGGATTATCGCTGTTATATGCATGTCTTTTTTTCTGGTTTCATTATGATATGTACAGGTGAAATTTGAATAATTAGAATATCGTGCAAAGTTCATTTATTTCACTAATGCAACTTAAAAGGTGAAACTAATATATGAGATAGACTCATTACATGCAAAGCAAGATAGTTCAAGCTGCGATTTGTCATAATTGTGATGATTATGGCTTACAGTTAATGAAAACCCCAAATCCACAATCTCAGAAAATTTGAATATTACATGCAATCAATAAAACAAGGATTGTACATAGAACAATATTGGACCTCTGAAAAGTATAAGCATCAGGGGCGTATTTACCACGAGGCAAACAAGGCGTTTGCCTGGAGCGGCACTTTGCAGGGGAGCGGCATGTTTCGCCCCCCTGCAAAGAGGAAAGCTGGGGACGAACAAGGCGCCGGGCGCACAATATCAAGCTGCGTCGGCTGCCTTAAAAGGTGGCTGCTAACGGGGCCTGGCAGTGAGCTGGCGGGTGTATGAAGAGGTGTGGCCGGGGCCGAGGGAGAAGCGGCCCGGCCGTCGGAGGCTGCGGTGCCGCTCCAAGAAGATTCGGCGGCTGCAGAAAGACGCGGACCTGGGCCGGTGGAGGCTGCAGATGGGATGGCGGCTCCAAGAAGCATCGCGGCTGCAGATCTGATGGGACCAAGATAGACACGGCCCCGGTCGGCGGAGGCTGCGGGCGGCTCAAGTAAGATGCAGGCTGGAAGCAAGATGCAGAATGGAAGCAGGCTGGGGAGCTGCAGGTAAGAAGAGCAGCATGTGTGCAGGGAAAGGGACCCTCCACAGTCCATAATAGATCATGCACAGCCCACCTTAAAGTCTCTGTGCAAGGTCTATGGTGGGCTCTGGGGGGTCTCTGGTGGGGTTTGCAGGAACTCAGATGGGCACTGCAAGGTCTATGGTGGTCTCAGCCTCACATCCTACATTGCCCACCAGAGATCCTTTACAGCCACTTGAGACTTCCCTGCAACACTAAGGCCTCGCTCATTCACACTGCATAAAGGCTGTGACACACTGCACGCGAAGCAGCGTGGAGCGAGCAGGGCCTTCGCGAGCAGGGTCATGTCATTTTCTCCTCGGCACCTCAGCTTGCGAGAGCTCGCGTAGCTGAGCGTGCCGAGATGAAATATTTCATCTTCAGCCAATTGGCTCGCGCGTATAAACCGGCGCGTTGCGATGCGACGTCTGGCTGGTTGTTATGCAGGAGCCGATTGGCTGAAGGTACAGTCAATCATGTGCCTGCACTCAGCTCACACACAGCACGCAAAGCTCCGTGCCGGACAGCTTTGCTTCGCTCTGCACGGCTTTGCATGCAGTGTGTCACAGCCTTCAGAGTTGGCCCATAAACATCCGTGCTGGTGCGGGTGTCCATGCTCGGACGCAGATAGGATCCATCCTGTCTGTGTACGAGTACGGACATCCACACGGACGTGCAGTTCAGGTGAGCGTACAGCTGCGTCCTCCCATAGAGAAGAACAGGCTGCTGCGTACAAATCACACGCAGCACCTGTCCTTCCCGGGAACGGCCCGATACGGCCGTGCACGTCCCACGGATCTGTACGGGCCGACTCTTAGCAGTGTGAATGAGGCCTAATAGCGCAATCTGTCAGCGGCTTGAACGAATAC